GTGCGGGGTGGGGTGGTGTCACTCACCTTGACGGTGTGTATCTTGCCGAACTGGTCGTACTGCTGCATGGCCACGTCACTGATGGAGTAGCACGGCTGGAGGGGAAGTTCCTGGGACATAGACACACACACACTGGTGGTTAGAGAGGGAGGAGGGAGAGGGGCAGTTCCTGGGACATAGACACACACACACACACACATTCGTGGTTAGAGAGGGAGGAGGGAGGGGGGCAGTTCCTGGGACATAAACACACACACATACACACACTCGTGGTTAGAGAGGGAGGAGGGAGGGGGCAGTTCCTGGGACATAGACACAGACGACTCGTGGTTAGAGAGGGAGGAGGGAGGAGGGAGGGAGGGAGAGGGGAGGGAGAGGGGCAGTTCCTGGGACATAGACACACACACTCGTGGTTAGAGAGGGAGGAGGGAGAGGGAGGGAGGGGGGAGGGAGAAGGGCAGTTCCTGGGACATAGACACAGACGACTCGTGGTTAGAGAGGGAGAAGGGAGGAGGGAGGGAGGGGGGAGGGAGAGGGGCAGTTCCTGGGACATAGACACACACACTCTCGTGGTTTGAGAGGGAGGAGGGAGGGAGACAGAAAGAGAGAATGAAAGAGAGAAAGAAGAGAAATGGAGAACATACAGAAAAGAGAGAGGTAGAAAAAGAGGGAGAGAAAAGAAAGAAAGAAAGATAGAAAGAAAAAGAAAAACAAAGAGAGTGGTGAGTGAGATGACTCTTCTCAAAAGAAGTCCTCACCACAGGCACACACGGCTAGCACAGAGGAACAAACGACATATTATTATAGTGAGACAGAAATACAACGTCGTTAAACGGCGACGTCAGCTCGATGGTGTCTGCTCTTCTCTGTCTCTGGATTGAGAGCTGTTCACAATCCTGATCAAATGTGAGGCAGCGTGGTGGAATCAGGCTCTCGTCAAAATAATCAAATTGAAGAAACTTGCATTTTTTCAGCAGGTTTGTGAATGTTTATCAATGAATCAGGCTCTCGTCAAAATAATCAAATTGAAGAAACTTGCATTTTTTCAGCAGGTTTGTGAATTTTTATCAATTATTGTTTTTTTGGTGCAACACCTTTCATGCCCATTAAAGAACTCATTTCTTTGAAGATTTTCCTGAAAACATTGATAAAAGACACAAAAAAGGAAATTTCCAGAGTTACCACGGACTCTTAAGCTAAGGAAATAACCAATCTTTGGCGGCCATTTTCTCACAAATTTTTCCTCTGAAAACAGGTGACCCCCACCTCCTTCATTCTCAAATATCTCCACTTGTATTCATGATAAATGGGTTTTTTTTCATCCAAATAAATACAAGCAAACAAGCTTTAAGATGATACCAATAACTCTACATGCCCAAAAATTGACGAGAGCCTGATTCCACCACTTCTTCGACACTTCACTGCCCCAGAATAACAATTTTTTGTCTACTCAGTACCTAGTTTTGAGAAACTTGACGTAAACATCGTTGAGCTTCACAACATGTCAAGCTTTCTCAAATGCAAATTCTTTGGATATCCTGATAACGACTCAAAAATAATCTTACGATTGTGATAATATAGCATATTACTATTATTAGAACAGTTGGTTTCTACTCCATAGTCTCAGCAACTCAAAACGACCAAAATGTCCGATAGAATTTTGCAACTCTAAGGAAGCGACTTGTGTTATTTCAAAGACTACCATAGTTTCAGTCCGGAATCTATGATGCAGCACGTAGGCGCTACAGCACAACACGCATTCCCGAGTGAGGAGACGTTTTGATCAAGTATCTCCGTTTGTCTGCTGGGATGTGGTACCACTCTCAGTCCGATCGATTGGCCTTGAAAGGCAGAATCGAAGCAGCCCGCCTCTTTAATAGAGTCGACAGGGACGTAACACATTAGCAATACAATATTATTGCACTCCTTATCAAATTGTCTTCAACTCTGGTGTTATTCCACAGATTTCTGCCGATTTAGCGAGGGTATAGCTTAGCACACCGCTCAACACAGCCAATTTATTAAAGGGGAAGCTTTCAACCTCACGCCAGATGTGTTCTTCTAAACCCATGGGCGTTTAAAACTGGGGTGACTTGCACAATGGCCAAGACTCAACGACAAACCTGCATTTTCGAGACATAACAGCCAAGACTCAACGACACACCTGCATTTTCGAGACATAACAGCCAAGATTCAAGGACACACCTATATTTTCGAGACACCACAGCCAAGATTCAAGGACACGCCTATATTTTCGAGACACCACAGCCAAGATTCAAGGACACACCTATATTTTCGAGACACCACAGCCAAGATTCAAGGACACACCTATATTTTCGAGACACCACAGCCAAGACTCAACGACACACCTACATCTTCGAGATACCATAACAAGTAACATTCGGTGTTCTAGCCCTACCTTTGTAAAATACCTTCTGGTTATTATTTCTGTGAAATACCTTCTGATAGGTAAATGTTTCTCCCGATGAAGTACCTGAAAGTGCTGGATCAACGTTCGTCAGGACCCCCCCCCCCCCCCCCCCCGCAACGAAGTTAAAGCTATTTCGGTTACTTTCTAGCAATGTTGGGGCTTATAATACACAGCAATTGATAATTATACCTCCTATATATTAGTGCTGGGCGGCGAGGTTCCCGATTATTGAAAGCTTGGAATAGTAGGACTCGACTCCGAACCCAATTACTTATTTTCTAATGATGTGCGTGATTTTTCAAAAATAGATTCTTTAAAAAAACGAATGTTTTTTTTAGGGATAAAACCGTTGGTTTACGTATAAAGGAGAAGGAACTTTAAATCCGTAGGAATCGTTGGAATCGGTTCCGGAATCGACTCTTCGCACAGCTCTACATAAGGACCACAAGCAGAGGCGTGATGTAAATAGTGTTATGGGGCGCATAGTCTGTGCCCATGTTCTTTTTGTGTATTTCATAGTCACATGAGAAGGGCGGTAAGCGGCTGTGTTTCTCAGCTTTCTTTATATGTCAGTGTTGTGTGAGGGCAAAGCCCTTACAAAAACAAACTGAAAATTTCTTATGCGGCTTGTCACTGAGAGGAGAGGAGGTGGCGAGTCACTGTGGGTCTTCTGGTGCTACGTTGACAGTCTTGTAAAGAAGAGAAAGTATTGAAAAACTGATTACAGCAATCGGTGCCAACTACAAGAGGCGGGGGAGGGAGAAACGAGCGTTGACTGAATTTCGTGACGAAAGCAAAATCGCCCCTTGAGGGGAGGAACGTACTGCCGCCTTACATGAACAGTACAACAAATGAGTTCCCTTAAGCAACAACACGTACCTGGAAGGGCTCGGTGTCCTTCTCCTCGTTGAACAGCCTGATCATAGGCCCGTCCTTGTTCTGACCTAGCCGGATACACGCCATTTTCCAGAACCGATTTCCCGCCAACTTCTTCTTGGTCGGCTGCCTGACCATGAGCTTCCACATGACCTTGTTCTCCAGGCTACGAAACGGCTCCAGCGGTTCCAGAGGCCCTTCCTCTTCCGGCGTGCTCTCCTCTGACGTCAGAGACTTCATGCGTTCCCGGCGCTCCTTGGCCGCGGCCGCTTCCGCCGCTTCCGCCTCCGACTTCTTCCGGAGCTCTTCTTCCACTTCCGCGAAGCTGGCGAAGTTTTCTTCTGGAGGAGACTCCTTGTCGAACGGGTTCTCCCTGTGAGGCATCTGAGGTGATTTCGGGGGTTTGGGAGGCGGGGGCAGGACGGGCACGGGGCCAGAGCTCACGTCACCCTGCGACTTTTCCCGAATGTCCAGCTTGAACTTGCCGTCCTCGCCGAAACCTCCGGCCGTTTTCGACTGACCCAACGACGGTCCGAACAGACTGTCCGAGTCTTCGGGTGTGTCCAGGAGGTTGGACGTTTGCGTCTCGCCACCGCTGGCGTTCGTCTTGGCTTGGTCGGCCGGCAGGGAAGTGAAAGGGTCAAAGGTCAAATCGTTGCCCGCGGCCGGGGGAGCGCCGTTTCCCGCGACAACGCTTGCCTCTAGGCTGGGGCCGAACAACGAGTCGTTGGCAGCGGTGGTGGCCGGAGCCAAAGACGGGCTGGGAGAGCGGGCTGGACTTCCGCTGACCATCGCTGCGAACGGGTTGTCTTCTCCAAGAGGTTGGATCGGGGCTTGCGCTGCTATATTCTCAAAACTGGCCGTGAGGAAAGGGTTAATGGGCTGGCTGATGGAGGACATGTTGTCTCCGCCTCTGTCAGCCTCCGAGTCCGCCGTGCTGATGTCTGCGGCTGTGAACAGATCGTCCTGGAAAGGGTTGTCGGCGCCAGCCACAGACGACGTCCCAGAAGTCGCAACATTGGCGCTCGCGGAGTCCGAGGACGTCCCCCAAATACTGTCCTGATCTTTCGCGGGCGCGGCGTGGAATATCCCGCGGCTGGCGAAGAAATTGTCGTCAAAAGTTATCTCCCCGTCCCGGAAGTCCTCGTCGTGCAAGAGAAACGGGTTGGAGGACTTCCTGGACGACTTCCTCCCGGGCGCCGGCTGGGCGGGTCGGAGGGGAGGAACAGCAGCAGACGTGAGCGGGGCAGCGTTGGAGTTGATGTCCAGGGGCGGGGCGGAGGACACGGCGGGGAGCGGGCTGGGGTGCGGTGCGAACGGGTCGAGCGAGGAGAATGCTGATGAGAGGTCTGCGGTGGGGGCGGGGGCGGAGGAGCTGTCGTTGTTGTCCACGACAAAGGGGTCAAAGGTCGCCTCATGGGTTGAAGCATTGACCGGTGTCCGCTCGGAGGAGATGTTTCCAAAGAAATCCGCCCCGAGGTCGGGGTCGTCCGACTCCACGATTGTCGCGAAGGGGTTGAACGCGTTCGGTTTTAGAGTTTGATCCGAAGAAAGGTCGTCCGACTGGAAAGGGTTTTTGGACAAAGGTTCGTCGGAGTTGGAGGCGCCCCACAGCAGGAAATCGTCCACCAGAGAGCGCGCCAGGTCCGACACGGCCGTGCTCTCGGGGACCAGCTTGCCCTGACTCTGCAGCACCTCCAGGTCAAACTGCACGGGGCTCGGGCACAACGAGGACTGCGCGCTGCTCTGGGCCGTGGAGGATCCGGCGAACCAATCAGTGGTCAGGTTCTCCTGGGACATGTCACGTGACGCCGGGCACGACAGGAAGTCGTCCAGACCCAGCAGGTCTTCGTTCAGGGAGCTCTGGTTGGAGAACTGGTGTTGGGCGGTGGGAGGAGGGGCTGGGTCGGAGCTCAAACCTAAAAGATCGAACTCGTCGCCGCCGTTAGAAGTAGGAGGCATATCGCCGCCGGCGCTGGGAAGTGTGGAGTCGGCCCCAGTAGGGGGTACAGCGCTGCTGCCTGCTGGCGGGGGGTCAAACCCCAGAAGGTCAGCGAACCCGTCCTGATCCATCGCAAAATTGGAGTCAGCGCAAGGGGCCGCGGTTTGAAACGCTGAAGGAGAGGAAACAGTAAACTGAGGGACAGAGATGAGACTGGAGAGGTCCGTGCTATCGTAGACGTTGGAGAAAAGCTCCGAGTTGTTTCTCTCGGGATCGCTGCTCGCAGACGTGGCAGGCAGAGGAGGGTCAGCCTCTGGGGTGTCCACCGAGTCGTCACAAGCGTCCTGGTCGTCGAGATTGGTGAATGGAATGTTGCATGCCTGGCCACTGCCGTCTTCACGGCTGTTCTTCTGCTTATCCTTGCCCGGTGAGATCCGACCCGAGGGGGAGATCCGGCCAGACGCGAGTTTCCCGATGCTCGTCTGAGTCTTTAAGACATTCTGCTTGATGCGATCCTGCATCTGTAAGAAAGCCTGCCAGTGCTCCGACTTGGCTTTGACCTTGTCGTCGAGCTCGCCATCTCCCTCCTGCGCATGCGCACCGGCGCCCAGTTCGCTGAGAAAATCCTCGTCATCAGACGTGGCCTTCTTGGATTTGGAGGCCGGCTTCAAAGAGAGGGGGGACTTTGATCTGCTCTTTTTCGCACCTTCCCGAGCCTTGATCAAAAACCCTAAACCTTTGACGGCTTTCGACTTTTTGGGAGAGGGGGACCTACTGCTTCCTTTTGTGACAACTAGGGACGAAGAGGCGGAGGAGGACGAGGGGCTAGCGGTTGTCTCCCGTGAGTTGCCCGAGTCTGCAAACACGTCGTCTCCTCCCTCGGCGCCAGACAGGACTGGTGATGACGGATCCTTGACCAAATTCGATGCCTCGTCATAGGAGCCCGTGGACATAGCTTAGTCTCATGCACACCTGGAACACAGACAGAGAGCAAGGTAAGACACCGGCGACAGTCAGGTTAGTTTGAAGTTCAAATCCATATTGAATTCAGACTAATCATCGGTTTGATAAGTGGAGTATGGTACGGTATACTACAGAATTGTTCGGTATGGTGTGGTACAGTATGGTATGTTGCCGTGTGGTAGGGCTGGGCAATGAGTCGCTTTAGCAAGATCCTAATAATATCATGTTAGTGCACGTCTTCGGCTAATAATATGATATGAACCGCTTCGGCTAATGGGTTAGAACCACTTCGACAAACGGGTTAGCATCACTTCGACAAATGGGTGCACCTACTTCGGCAAACGGGTCAGGAAAGAGAGTTAAGAGTCTGAATGCGGATAATGTTTCATTGAGAATTATCTGGTTATCCGGATGGATTATCCGGATTTTGCCCACCTCTACCGTGTGGTTACGGAGCGATGTGTTCGGCGCACCTTTGAACACTGAGAGTCTACTTAGAGTCGGGACCTCCGACACCCATGCCCGACAGGCCGGGGCCACAGACGTGTGCGGTGTAGCGGAAAGGCTGGGACAGTGTATCCCTCTGTTTGAGATTGAGTAAAGAGAAGCACGTAGACACAATAACGGTCATACAATGCAGGGAAGAAACAAAACCTACCAGTTGCTCCCTCCAACTGCCCACATATCACTCCCAACCTGAGTTGATCCTGACAGACAAAGACGGAGGATCCCGCCCCTTATACTTTTAGTTTTAGTAAGAGTTTCACGGCACTTGCAACACAATAAGGTCATTTAAGTGCCCCTGATCATAGAGTTATAAGAGAATAACAAACACAAAAGAGAAGGAGGAGAGATAAGGACGACAGATGTTTGATAGGAAAGAAGAAGCAAAGCAACCAGAACACCCGCCAACCACCCACGAATATGACCTAGATTGTTCTGACAAACAGAAATACTCCATTAAGAAACCTGCACACACGGGAATCAAGCTCACACCTCCCGCGTGCGATGGCCAAGTACCTGAACGCTACACCCCGACGCTCACCAAACGCAGTAAGAAGGTATTATACAAATAATATTATATCAATTAAAAAAAAAAAAATAAAAAAAATATATATATATATTGTACATGTATAAACAGGCGGAATGTTTTCGCTCTGCAAACCAGCCGGGAATTTAAAGTCAGCCATAGCAAAATCAATTGCTTGCATGAGGAAAAAGAAACCCCTGAACTCAGTGATTGTCATATTTCAGAGCTGGGGAAAAGACAGAGGGACGGACAGAAACAACAGAGTGAAAGAAAAGACGTGCGACCTAGCCTACCAGTGGCGCTCTCAAACCACCCACACTAAAATCAACTGACCACACCACCTCACCCAGCACCCCCCACCCCTTCCCCGCTCTCCACCCTCCGACCAAACATATAACCAGCCTCTTCACAGCTCTCTAATCTCTTCCTCAACATACAAAAACAACATTTCCTTCCTGAGATCGTGTCTGAGAAAGGTATCCCAACCATTCCACACCACCGAGACTGAAGCGTAGATGGAAGTAGCCGGCTTCAAGAACACCCAACACTCATACACACACACACACACACACACACACACACACAGAGAGAGAGACAGAGAGAGAGACAGAGACAGAGAGAGAGACACACACACACACACACACGCGCGCGCACACACACACACTCACCCACACACACATATACACCAGTCTCCATCTATTATAAATGAGCACGAGATCTTAATGAAACAATGATACGAACATAAGGCCAAAGCTTTTGCTCCTCCAGCCTGATATCGATCGCCCAACGTTTCCGACTTCCAATAGGAAGCTACGTGATGGACTGACTCTCTCTCTCTCTCTGTCTCTCTCTCTCTATCTCTCTCGCCCCCCCCTCTCTCTCTCCCCGGTGCTCACGTTAGGAAGCTACATGATGGACTGACTCTCTCTCTCTCTCTCTC